CACAGACACATACACATACATACGCATGCCACATACACATGCATGCCACATACACATGGCATGCCTCCTTACAGACACTCACACACGCATACACAGAGGTTCCCTTCTTTCAGATAACTCTAGCTTATGTCAAATTGACATAAAACTAGCCAGCACACTGCCTTGATACCCACCCCCTAAAGAGACTAGATTCACCTTTATGAGACAATATTAACATGTGGATTAAAGACAGAAAATTTTATTTAAAATATATTTTTTTAAACTGGATTCCCTACAGCAGGGCCTATTTAAAACAGAACGGCACAGCTAATCCATTATGAGTCTAAACAATGCTGGACAAGGCTCAAGAACAACAAATACTTCTCGATCAATTTCTCTGAGGTAACTGAACCAAAACGTCACTCCCAGCAAAGGGACCAAGTTGCTTCAGTGCTTGTGCACGTAGCCGTATTTATCAGAACAAAGTTCGCTTTGCTCAAGTGAAGCGGGAGCCGCCTCTCAGCTCCCTTCCAGTAACACAGTCTTCCTCCTCCAACGCTTCCAAGACCTCTCCCTCAGTTTCTCCTGGAAGACGCCTCCTGGACTCAGGTCTAGACAATCCTCATGGTCTTCCTCAAAGCCACAGCTTAAAAAAAAAAATAACCCACATATGCTTTGTGCTTTTCCTTCTTAAAAAGCAAAGGCTGGGGATACAACAAACACACATTCCAGCTGGGTGCCAGGTGATCCAGCAGCTGCACCCAAATTCAGCATATCAGTCAAGGTCACGATTAAATAATAAGGTATTTAATGTGGAGTAATGAATAAGCAGTAAATTTAAAATTTAACCATTTATCAGAATTTCATTATTCAATTGTTTTTAAAAATAGTGTTGTGCGGTGTATGCACGATTTTTGTGTGTGTGGGTGCACATCTGTATTGTGCATACAAGCTGGTGCAGATGGCACCCCAGGTGTCCTCCCCTTAGTTTTCCAGCCCAGCTGTCTCACAGGCCTGCACCTGTCTCTGCCTCCCCAGTACTGGGATGACAACCATGTAGCGCCACCTCTGGCTTTTGTAAGCATCAGGTGCTGGACCACACACAGATCCCCACACTTGCAAGGCAGCCACTCTGTCCACTGGGCTATCTTCCCAGCCCCTGTAACTTATTTTTTTTTTTTGACCTTAAGAGTTTTAAATGTATTTATTATATCATGTCATGACTTGAGAAAAGAACGGACCCTTAAACCTTGGGTCTGAAAACACAGAGTAGGAAGAAGAGCATGAATTTATACTCATGTATCAGTACCAGGTCAGCATCTTCTCACAACTGGAATAACAGACTTTAGTCATCTCACACCGCGAAAGAAGCACACTTTTTATTCCAGAAGTTTCCAGAAAAATAATTGCTATCTCTGCAAACAGCGACTGGCTATTAGCAGGTTCTACGATGCCAGCACTGTTGTACAGAGTACAAGATTAAGGACCTTCTGTCCAAGTAATACCTTTAGATAAATGTACAGTTCCTCTTACATATTGGTTTTCTATCATCATTGTGGTGAGGAGGTGTGTGAAGAGGTTGGCTGGTTTTCCTTCTTTTCTTCCTTTTTTTGAGATAGGGTCTCACTATGGCTGTCCTGGAACATCTATGTAGACCAGGCTAGCTTTGAACTCATAAAATCCACCTGCTGCTGTCGCCCGAGGGCTGGTATTAAAGGCCTGTGCCACCATGGTTGGTTACCATGAGACAGGATCTGATGATGCCACCCAAGCTGGACTAGAACCTGTCATGTGCCACCGGCTGCCTTTCTGCTTCAGCCTCCTAAGTGCTTGCAGCCACCCACCCCCGCGCCTAGCTCTACCTCTCTGGGGTTTTGTTGTCTTGCTTTTAGACTCATATTTGAATGCTTAGTCACCAGGGAATGGCACTATTTGAAAAGGTTAGAAGGATTAGGAGGTGTGGCCTCGCCGGAGGAAAATCATGAATTCTAAATGTTAGGTTGAACTTTCAGATCTTAAGAGAAAAATAATTGCCAGGCGGTGGTGGCAAGAGCCTTTGTTCCCAGCAATCGGGAGCCAGAAGCAGGCCGATCTCTCCGAGTTCTACGTAGTGAGTTCTAGGACAGTCAGGCAGTAGAGACCCTGTCTGAAAAACAAATCAAAACAACAGCAAATCCCTAATTAGAATGCGTCGTATGGAGAGCTGATATTGGGACTGGAGGGATGTCTCAGCAGTTGAGAGTACTTGCTGCGCTGGCAGAGAAAGCAGTTAAATTCCCAGCACCCACGCGACTGCTCACAATCATTTACAACTGCAATTCCAAGGAATCTGAGGCCCTCTTCAGGCCTCTGGGGGCACTAGGCACACACGTATACAGTCAAGCAAAATATTCATATACATAAATTTTTTAATTAAAAAAATTATCAATCTGATTAAATGACATTTGCAGAATGGTCTCCTCCTCTCAGATCCTGGTGTGACTCCCTGCCCTTGCTCAGCTTCCAGTTTGCACAGCGCCTGCTCAGAAGGATGAGCTCCGTGTAGGGATCCGAGATCTCCACAGGCGTGATCTGCAGCCGCCCTCCCAAGTCAGCCTTCACCACGTGACCTGCACTAATTCTCCCCTCCCCCGTTGGTAGCTGAAATGATCTGCCATGGGGATCTCTGGAATAAGCACTCTGGCACCCATGAGAGTGGAGGGAGGAGGCGGCACCGGCGGACGGAAGCCAGGACAGTTCCTGAAAGGCTCCGGTCCCAGGTCCAGTCTGTAATCTCTTGTATTTTCGGTTGTGAGCCTAGCTAGCCTTTAACAGCTGAGCCATCTCTCCGGCCCCCAGTTTTACACACTAAAACCACAAGGCGGGGCGGGCAAGCAAGCGAGATTTTACGGAAGCACACAATGGCGATCAGCAGGTTGCTAAGAGCAATGACCCGTTGTTTCGGGTATTTGTCCAGGTTGTCCCGCTTCAGGTACCGAGTGAAGCCATGCTTGGCAAGCAGGCAGTCTCAGCTGAGCTTTAAGTGAACCACTAGATAAAGCAGTTCTAACACCTTGGTCTGCTCTATGTTGCTTCTAACTCCAGATTTACGTCAGCTTCATGCCTGTCTCTCATTCACTCATATTAACTGTCATGCCAGGAATGCTGGTGCATATCTTCAATCCCAGCTCTTGGGAGCCAGAGGCAGGAAGATCTCTGAGTTTAAGACCAGTTTGGGCTACATAAAGAATCCCAGGCCAGCCAGGGCTACAGAGTGACACTTATCTAAAAAAAATACTTTTTTATTTCCAAGTGTTTGCCTCATGTATGCACACCACATGCTTGGTGCCTGGAGGCCAGAAGAAGGCATCGGATCTCCTGGAACTGGAGTTATGGTAGAAACGGAAACCTAGTCCCCCCAGGAAGTGCTCTCAACATCTCAGCCATTCCCCCGTCCCTATGTTTATATCTCCAACGGTAGATGATAAATGAAATTGTGGGGTTATATACTATAAAAAGATGTAGCCCTGTGTATTGGCACATGCCTTTAATTCCAGCACTTAGAAGGCAGAGCTAGGAGGATCTCTTGTGAGTTCAAGGCCAACCTGGTCTACATAGCAAATCTGAGACCCTATCTTTAAAAAAAAATAGAGCCAATAAAGTATATAATGTTGATTAACTGATATGAAAAGGTCAGCAGTATATATTTTAATAGGTCAGATTGGAGAAGAGAATACACGGGATTCTAATTTCGACTCTACCAACCACACCCACATACAATGCATCGCACACTAATAAACACGGCCAGTGTGGCCTGGAATCAACAGAGGCAGGTCTACATTCCCACATGAGAGAACCCCAAGAATTTTCAGGGAGCCGTATCAGTCAAAACTATTTCCCACAACTCCGAGGTCCAGAAACTCACCAGATGGAGGAAAGCAACCCGCCTGTCACACAGACTCTTCTAAGGGAGGAATAGGCGGCACACAAACTTACTGCGGTGGAGAGTCGGGACGCCAAGGTCATTTCCAGGTTCCCTTTGAGGCCAAGCAGCGCAGGGACTAGAATGAACACTTCTGTCACGTTCCTGAACACCTCCCAGTGCTGGGGACAAGAGGAACAGCCGCTCTTTAGAACCAGGACATCTCTAAAGACCCCACTTCTGCTTCCAAGGTTGCTTCTCCTTTTCTGTCACTGAGACAGGGTCTCACCCTGTGCCCTGGCTGGCCTAAAACTCAGTAAGTAGACCAGGCTGGGCTCCTGAGAACAGGGATTAGGGTGTGCAATACCCTGCCTGGCTTTGCTTCCCTGTCTTAAATACAATAATACAAACGCAAAAAAAAAAAAAAAACTGTGTTGGGCACTGGGGGACTGAGAACCTGCCTGACATACAGGAGGCCGTGGGCACCATCTCCAGAACCACACACAAATGGAGGCAGGGGCAGAGGTGGAGGAGGTGGAGGAGGTGGAGGAGGTGGAGGAGGTGGAGGAGGTGGAGGAGGTGGAGGAGGTGGAGGAGGTGGAGGGAGGGTGAAGACAAAGGAGCAGCAGTTTGGGTGTGGAGATGAGGAACAGAAGTTCGTCCTTATTTTAGTACTACAATGTTTGAACACATTTCAATGAGCATATGGAAATTTTCTTTAAACTATTTCAAAATACTGCTTGCTGACTGGGCTTTTCTTTTACTTGGCTTATTTTGGGGTTTGTAAAAGAGTTACTTTATTTGCAAGGAATACGTCGAATCTAAGATAATGCTTGACCGTTGGGGATACGGCTCAGGCTCCTGCCACACGTGATGGTCCACTCTCAGCACTGCAAAAGATGTTATCCTATGCAAAGCATCTGAATAAGAAAACGTGAAGTCAAGCCAGATGTGTGCACTCGGGGAAGGCGCTAAGGCAGGAAAGACTGCAAGTTCAAAGGTGTAGAGTGAGACCCTATTGAAAGAGGGGAAAATGGAGGAGGAAAGGAAAAGAGAAAGAAGGGGAGGGGAGAAGGGAGGAGAGGAAGGGCTTGGCTGAGTAAGCGTAAGGGCCCAGATTCAACACTCAGAACCTATGTTTTAAAAAAGAACGTGATGTCATATGCCTTTAACCCCAGCACTTGGGAGGCAGAGTCAAAGGCAGCTGGGTATCTGTGAGTTCAAGGCCAGCCTGGTCCACACAGTAAATTCCAGAAGAGCCAGGATGATGTGGAAATTCCTGTTTCAAAGTAACGAATCAATCAATCAATTAAAAACCCGGAGAGCCAAGCACGGTGGCATGCGTATAACCCCAATGCTGAGGAGGCAGAGGCAGGCCGGACCCCTAGAGCGTCACTGGCTGCCAGCTGAGTCCATCAGTTCCAGATAGAACTGAGAGACCCCACCACAGGAAGACACCCACGATTGGCCTCTGGCACACACGAGCGCTGGCACACACTCAGTGTGCGAAACTGAAGATGAAAACTCACCTGTACTATGTCCAAAACCATGCCGGCAGAAACTGTTCCAAACCCGGCCAGCAGAAACGGCACGAGAATCTGCAGAGCCATGACGCCGCTGGACTCCTTCGGGAGCTTCCGGTTTGTTTCCACAATAACATCATCGCCCTCACTGGACAGATCTTCGTCCTGCAGCATGGCGGTGGTTTCCGAAGCCTCCCTTCCATCGCAGTAGCTATAGCTGGCGTAGTCGTCGTACTTGGGGCTGCAGCTGGCTGGCGCATGCCCACCGCCACTGCCATGGAAGGCCTGCTCCGAGAACTCGTGGTAGTCCAGATGTGGCTCTGACCTCTTGCTGAAGGTCTGTGCTCCGCCCGACAGCCCGTCCTGCCAAAGGCCATTCGCTTTCTTATGCCTGTCATCCTGGTTCTTCTGGTAGATGACGGGCACCATGCTTAGAAGTAAGTTCAAAAACTTGTCAGACTGAATGGTGTTTAGATTTAAAGTCCAATTGACAAAACCTCCTCCACTATCGGGGCTGCCACTCGTCTTGCAGGTGACAGATCTTCCTTTGCTGTGAGTCATGTTGTCATCACAGAAAGCCCTGTGTCCTCCAAACTCAAGTTCCACCAAGCATAGCAGAAACAACTGCCCCAGCGCTCCCCGAAGTTAAGCCATTGGCTTCGCTGTACAGGGAACGCTCCCGCTGGTAAGAAACATTCACAAGTTCTAGAGAGGGATTCAATCTGCAATGAAAAAGAAGATTTAAAACTTTGATTAACCACACTTACACTGATTTTCATACATGCACAGGAGCTATACTCTGAGTTGGACACAGATCAGTTTTGTGACATACAAGTGTTTTTTCGTTGTTTTTTTTTTAATAAAAATACAGCGCAGAAGCCAGATGTGGTGGTGCACACCTTTAACCACAGCACTCAGGAGGCAGAGGCAGGGCTGTCTCTGTGAGGTTAAAGCCAGCCTGGTCTATACACTGAGTTCCAAGTATGCCAAGACTACAAGGTGAGATCCTGCATCAAAAACAAAACAAACAAGATGTAGAAACGTTTTGCAAGCTATCTTAGATAAAAAGTGTTTTTATTTTTTATGCTCCGTGTAACGGAAGCCCATGTGAGGTCTTCAGCGGCCTCTGAAGTTCTACAGTGGATAGATACAGTGAAGGAATGAAGTGATGGCGTCTGTTGGACACAGTGGTGCAGTCCCGCAGTCGCAGCACCAAAGAGGCCACGGTAGAGGATTGCCAAAAGACAGACACCAGTCTAGGCTACAGCGAGACCTCTTTCTATCAAAGGCAGAGAAGAGAAGTGCTGGCTCCGATGGCTATGGCAAGGACTCAGAATTAAACTGTGCTTGTCTCAAGTTTCGGCACCAAAATAAATAAATTCTCTTAGCCACTTAAACGTAACAATATAAAAGACATAGAAAGTATATATGCGCTGGTTGTCTGGATGAGGATGCCCGTATAGGCGCCTAGATCTGGATGCTGAGCCCCCAGCTCATGAGCTGTCAGCGGGTAGGACTGGCCTTGTTGGAGGAGGTGTGTCACTGGTGGGATGAACTTTGAGATTTCAAAGGCCCAAGTCAGGCCAGTGTGTCTCTTTACCTGCTGCCTGCAGATCAGCTGCTCCAGCACCACGCCTGCCTGAGTGCTGCCATGCTGCCCTGCCCTGAAAATAACAGACTAACCCTCTGGAATGTGAGCAAGCCCGCCATTAACTGCTTTTCTTATAGAGCTGCCTTGGTCATGGTGTTCTTCACAGCAACAGAACAGTGACTAGGCGTGTGCCGTTTATGCTATTTCAGCTACTACAGGCAATTTGAATGCTTTTATTTCTGTGGCACTGAGGACTGAGCATAGGGCTTCGTACATGCTGTGTAAGCACTCGCCCTCTGAGATTCCATCCCACATGGTTGTACTTTTTCATTTTAAGGCAGAGTCTCAGTTGCCTGGGCAGACCTTGAATATGTAATCCTCCTGCCTCATTCTCCAGAGTAGCTGGGATCATGAGCCTGCACAACCAGGCACAGATACAGATGACTTAAGTAGAGAGAAGCGGGTATGGTGGCGCACATCTCTAATCCCAGCACTCTGGAGGCAAAGGCAGCAGATCTCCTTGACTTTGAGGCCAGGCTGGTCTACAGAGTAAGCTCCAGGACAGCCGGGGATAGATAGTGAAACCCTGCTGAGGGGGCGGGGGAAGGGACAGAAATCAGAAACTGCACTTTTGTTAATATCCCTGGTGATTTGCATACACAATCAAGTGTGAGATGCTCTAAGACACTCGATAATCTGATCTACCCTGGAGACCAAGCATGAATGTGAACTAGTGTGCAAACAGAGTGAACATGCACACACTACCAGCCAAAGTAGAAATGGTGGTAGCGGTGGGAGACACCATGGTGTGATCTACTAAAACAGAAGCAGCTCACACACCCTACAGCCCCACCACTTAAGAATCTCACCCTAAGCACATACCCTGAAGAGACCCTGTGTAAGACAAGATGACAAAAAAGAAGGGGGAGGGAGGGAGAGAGGAAGTGAAGGAGAGAGAGAGGAAGGCAGGGAAGGAGAGAGGGAAAAGGAGGGAAGAAGAGAGGGAGGGAAGGAGGGAGGGAAGAATAGAAAGAGGGAGGAGGGGAGGAAGGGAAGGAGTGGAAGGGGGAGGGGGAAGAGGAATGCAATGGATAGATCCATGAGAGGATTCAACTCAGTCACAAGAGAATGAATGGTTCTGTGTGAGGAATGGTATAAAGCCCGGAGATCCTTCACAGGTACTGCTTATGGAGCTTAAGTTCACAGTCTTAGCAAGCATTTACTGCTGTTCTCTGAATCATGCCCATGTCTTACAAAGGTGCTTGGGGCTAGAGACCTGGCTCAATGGTTAATAGACAGCAAGCACTTGGTGCTCTTGCAGAGAACCCAGTTCCAACAGGGCTGCTCACAACCACCTGGAACGCCAGCCCCAGAGGATCCAATGTCCTCTTCTGATCCTCGGACGCCAGGCACACACGCAGTGTGCATACGCGCATGTAGACAAAGGCTCAGACTCACAAGATGGAACTCCAATCTCTTTAGTCTCCAGAATGAGCGGTGCTGTGGCAGATCTTACCACAAACCCAGACATTGCTCCCTTCCTACAGGAGGATGATGAGCTCCACCTGTCGCCATGGTTTCCGGGACACTCGTCAGAATGACACATCTTCATCTCCGCTGACAGCAGGTCTAGCCATGATTCATTTGGGCTGATGGAATAAAGGGCGGCCACACACACCAGGAGGAATGATTCAGGGGATCTGACCCCAAATGGCTACTTACTTTCCTTTAAGAGAGAGTCTCCCACATACTGAGAAACTAAAGGTTCCAGTCAACCCTCAAGAGCTTCAAAATAACACTTCCTAAAGATCTGAATCTCAAAGCCCAGAACAGTTTCTTCTGAAATTAAGCACTTCCTGGGGCCGGTCAGATGACTTAGCAGCTGAGGGTGACAGTGACAGCCTGGCCTTGCAAACCCTGAAGACTAAAGTCAACCCCCGGGACCCACATAAATGTTAAAGGGGAGAATCAGCTCCACAACTGTCCTCTGATCTACACATAAACAACAACAACAATAGTAACAACAGGAACGATGATGATGATGATGACAAATAAAAGGTTTCGAAAGTTAAAAACATCGAGCATTAGGGTTACAGGAAACTCCATGAGAATTGTGGCATTAATGTCAAATTTTTGAAAAGCTGAAACTGGTGGGGCACGCCTTTAATCCCAGCACTCGGGAGGCAGAGGCAGGTGGATCTCTGGTCTACAAGAGCTAGTTCCAGGACAGGTAGGGCTGTTACACAGACAAACCCTGTCTCGAACCCCCCCCCCCCCAAATATAAATAAAAGAGAAAGAAAAAACCTGTTTACTAGAAACTACATGGTTAAACGGGGATCTTTTTTAATTTAGCAGGTATCATGAAAAAAGTCTAGTACCTATATAAGATTACAGACAAATGTAAACATTGGGGGGAGGGGTTCAAGACAGGGCTTCTTGGCTGTCCTGGAATTCACTCTGTAGACCAGGCTGGCTTCAAACTCACAAAGATAGATCTGATTCCCTCTGTCTCCTGAGTGCTAGGATTAAAGACATATGCCACCATGCCTGGATACAATTTTTTAATAACTTGTAATAGTTAAAGGTATCCATTTAGTCTCCCACTGACAATTATGAGACAGAAGGCAACATGAACTTCCTGTGCACGGGGTATGGTGGTCCACACCTGTAATCCAAGAGGTGAGGCAAGAATGTTGGGAAAGTTATTTTTAGGTGTATTACTTTTGTTTATCTCTGTGAAGCTGTGATTCCTTACCTGTCTAAAACACCAGATGGTCCTAATAAAGAGCTGAACGACCAATAATGAGGCAGGGACAAGGACAGGCAGGGCTGGCAGGCAGAGAGGATAAAAGGAGAGAGGAGGAGGGAGGAGGCAGAGAAGATCAGGGACCAGCCACCCAATCAACCATGGAGTAAGAAAGAAAGATATAAAGAAATAAGAAAGATTAAAAACCCAGAGGGAAAAGGTAAAGAGGATAACTTAAGTAAACCTGGCAAGAAACAAGACAAGCTAAGGCAGGACACTCCTAAGAATAAGCCTCTGTGTGTGATTTATTTGGGAGCTGGGTACCCCAAAAGCCAAAAGAGTAAAACATCAGGCTGGAGAGATGGTTCAGAGGTTAAGAGCACTGGCTGTTCTTCCAGAGGTCCTGAGTTCAATTCCCAGCAACCACATGGTGGCTCAAAACCATCTATAATGGGGTCTGGTGCCCTCTTCTGGCCTGCAGGCAAAACATGCAGCAGGCAGAACACTGTATACGTAATAAATAAATTTTTTTAAAAAAAAAGAGTAAAACATCATACAACACAAGAGTACTAATGGTTCAAGACTAAGGTTGGGCAATTTAGCAATATGTCTTAAGAAATGGGCTGGGGTATAGTTCAGTGGTAGAGCGCTCTCCTACCATGCACAAGGTCTTTGGTCTGATCCCCAGAACTGTGGGAAAACAAACATCATGGCGGCGTGAAGACTTTCCAAATGTGCTCTTCCTATTGTCTCAGGTGGGGCATGTTAGAGATGTACAACGATGGAGGCAGATATATGACTTTCTTTTGCTGTTGCATCTCAAGAAAAAATCTATTCCCAGGCAAAAGTGTAAAGAATGAGGGGCGGAGTCAGCAGCTACCCTATGAATACAGGTGAAAAACAAAGCTACAGTAATTTACATACTTTACCCTACCATTATTTTATTAAGCTGATTTACAAGTACTCAGAAATATAAGAATTAATATTCCCCCAAACACTGTCCTGCCTGATTTTATAATAAGTTTATATATAAGCTTTATATAAGTTTACCTCTAGAGTGCAATAAAAACTGTGTTCTGCTCAACGCCCACATCAAGCAGCTCAAACCGCCTGTAATAACAGCTTCGGGAAAACACAATGGCCTCTAGCTTCCAGCCCCCATAGGCATCCGCACTTACATGACCACACAGGGTACCCATGTGCCCACAAACACACACACACACACTCTAAAAAGCTGGCCAATGGGGCTGTTTTACTTTCTCGATCCCCAGGCGAGCTTTATTTATTAAAATACAATTGAAATGCCACTACAGTACACAGAGTTGGCATCTAAGAAAAATCTTACTTTGTTAGTGTCAACTGGAACCTTTCCACCTAAACTGCA